TGACCAGGAACCTGGACTAAATTAGTTTTTCTGCACAATTTTAAACGTAATGGGACCAGTATCAGTAACAATGATATTACGATAAAATAATGTCATTATACCACTGACAATGTGGTGGCTGGAATCAAGGAATGGCGGTTATAGTGCGACAAGGCTCTTATTGTATGTTGGGAGATTTAGAATGTCATTACCGAAGGAAGTAATGACAGTAATATTGATGTCATTACTTGTCATATTGTCTGGACGCCTTAGATTTTTACTTCGCCTTACACTTAAGTAGGTATACGTCTAATACCCATTTTGTATGTATATGGAACTATAGGGCAAAGAAAATTCACTAGGAACAAGATGTGTGGGCAAATTCGAATATACATGCACAAACTTATAAAAAGCTATTACTTATTCTGTGTGTGAAGCTTGGAGAGGTTTAGTGTTGATTTTAATATTTTTTAGGTAACTAGAAAGCACTAAATTACACAGTTTAATGGGCAAAATATGTCGAAGCAAATATGAGCATAATAAGCTGCACTTTCTTCGCAGTCACGTGGGTAGATGTTTATATTTTTATGAAATTGCAGTGACGAGCAGGTATAATGATTCTATCAAGACGTAAGAGTGATGGAATAAAGATATCAAGGTAGATAGGATCGTTTCCTGACTGATTAAGTAATGTTGGTCACATAGCGAAATTGACCCACAACATTTAATTTAAAAAAAAATCTACAAAAGGTGTTTCTCTGAAATCTAACATTATTTATGCATTTTTTAAATCTTTTTACTTCTCTGTAAATTAATTAAAATCATTCAGAACAAAATTTGAGGTTCTTTTTAGATAAAATTTGATTTTATAAAATGTACTTTCTTAATTTTCTACTATTTATAGTGTAATCAGAAAAAGACGATTTAAAAAAAAACTAGAGCCAATCTGCTAAAAGTAATAATAGTTTCGTAAATTGTGGGTCTTAATTGACACAAAATCATTTAAATATCAAGGGCAACAAAAACACTGTTGACCAGTGTTATTGATGATTAAAAGCTCACAATATTTTTCTCAATAAAGGAAAATAACGAACAGTTTTTAGTAGGAATTCTATCAATGGGTTGAAATTAAGTATTTTAATTTAGCAGCAGACGCAGGCCGCTACCAATCGATCAACATGGAAAGCATTGGGGGAGGCCTATGTTCAGCAGTGGACGTCCTATGGCTGAAATGATGATGATGATGATGATGAATTTAGCTGTACCTTTATCTAAGCTTTGTGACAACCCTACATGTGACATAGTAAGAGCTTCCATGTAAACGATTTACGGCATAAAATAAGGAAAATAACAAGATTGGCAACCGTCTCATAACCGCAACAAATTATACTTTACAAAATCGATTAACTATGAATGGAAGACTCAATGATGAATAATCGATTATTTTAATTTAATATCATGCTTAGAATGTTTCTGATCGATTAGTGATGTTCTTGTATCGTGTGGGTTGTAATAACTGGGGTCAAACACCGGGTGTCAAATTTTATGATCTGCCACAGGCGTTGGCCCGAGGACTTAAAAGCACGACATTATATTGCTGTCGGATTATGTCCAAAACATAAAGTGATTTTAAACTAATTAATATAAATGAAAGCTAAAACTAATTAACTAAGCGTGGATTCAAACACAGTAACCATTATGCCTCAGGCATAATTAATTAGTGGGAATACTTAAACCTATCAAACAATTTACAAAAACACAACTGCTTTAATAATATGAAGTCTAAATAAAAACACGTTTAAGTAATTAATTACGAATGTCTTATAATTTATGTAATTTGTTCTTCTTACAATTACATTAAATCAATTTATTGATGATGTATGAATTCAAATCAATAAAGAAAATACCTTTGAATTGATGCCGCCACTTAAATCTTTATCTAATTAATCACTTTTTGATCAAAAGGTGGAACAAAAAATTTCTTAGTTTTTCCTTAAACAAAATTAGGACAAAAACATATTTATCTATTATTAATAAATCCTTTTAATGGAATTTTATAGATATTTTAGTTGTTTTGTTTACAAAATAACGCTAAAAACTTTATTAGTTTCTAATAATAACTTCTCTGTCTTGTCAACCAAATCGCAATTTTCACTGAATCTTTATTAGAGTTATTATTACAAAAATACACTATTGTTAAAAAAACGCATTACAGCGATTAATTTCTTCAGTGATTTAAACATAAATAAGTATATTTTAATAAGGTCAACTATGACAAACAATCACAGCCTAGTACACCCATTATTTCTCATCGCATGAACTGGATTTGGCAACGCATTGTTCTGCCCACAGGCAAATTAAATTTGGACAATTTATCATAATGAGATCCAAGTGGCTGCGCGAGCGCAGGACGAGTGTCAGACGTCGGGCGAAGGCTAAATTAATTATGTTCAACTGTACGTTGACCCAATAATTTTGAAATATTACACCTATTGCATAGGGACAATCTAAATATTGCCACACTTGGGCAGACATTCGACTGTACTTAGTGCTTTCTTAATATGATTTTTAAGTAAACAAGTTTTAAAAGCTTATGTAATAAGTATAAGTATTTTTAATCTATAGGGGAGACCGGGTACAATAGTACCACGGGTCAATAGTACCATCGGCGATATTTCTTCATACAAGCGACGTTAGATTGTGTGCATAGCGTCAGAATATGCGTTTTTTGTGTTTCCATCCGCTCACCAGTCGGCGGCGCTTGTGCTGAGAAACGAAGGTGTACAGGAAGGATTTTTGTTTTTTGCCCAGCCGCAGTAAGTTTTTATGTCAAATATATGAGCCCATAAGTTGCCTAATATGCTATTTGTTACCAAAGTATTGTTGTCAATAGTTTATCCAGGCTCTAAACTTTGTA